TTCATTGTGGCCACAAGCCAATGGAGAGGTGGAACGCCAGAATCGCTCGTTAGTGAAATGCATACAGATCGCACATTTGGAAGGAAGGAACTGGAGAACTGAGTTGCTAGTATGGTTGACGGCGTACAGATCCACTCCGCAAACTACGACAGGGACTACACCCTGTTATATGATGTTTGGTTGCGAAATGAGATCCAAGCTGCCAGAGCTAAAGAGAGAGACGGTTGGTGTGCCAGGCGAGGAAGTGCAAGAGCGAGATTGGTCAAGTAAATTAAAGGGAAAAGCTTACGCTGACCTTAAGAGGGGTGCCACGCCCAAAAGCATCAGTGTTGGCGACACGGTTCTTGTGAAAGCAGAGAAAACCAACAGGCTTTCTACCAACTTTGACCCTGATCCCTTTAAGATTGTTCATAAGACGGGGTCAGAGGTAACGCTTAGGAACGAGACTGGCATTGAACTGAAAAGTAACACAGTGTTTGTGAAGAAGTATAACGAGCACGGAGATTTATCCAATGGCAACGAAGACCAAGTGGTACAGGCAGGTTCTGCAGTACGAGTGGATGACCCAGGGAAAAGCAAAATTTCAGAGACGACAGTCGTACCGATGCCAAAAGAGATTCCTGGAACGTCTGAAGATTCTCAAGAACAACCTAGGCATTTCCCAGACAATGAAAATACCGGAGTAGGAAGGCCTGTTCGGAGGTCGACCCGGACTGTAAGACCGCCCGATCGTTGTAAAGCCATATAAACTGAATGTGAACTGAATATGATATGAACTGAATATCTTGAACTTCTTGTCATTTTATCGAGCGACTGGTTTAATTTAAAGGCTTCGATTTGTATGTTGAACATTTAGGAAAGGAGAGAATGTAGTGTATAGGATGCCAACGAGCATGTAATATGCGCGATGTAATGTCATGCGTGATGTGTGATGTAATACCCTCGAGACCTACATATATACAGGATGTGTTTAATTATTTAGTTAGTTCTCTTAGGTACGTGAATAAAACCGATTTCATTTTAACCGCTGTGTACTACAGTCACTTTCTATCTCAATGGAAAACACCAAATATTTGCCCGGTTCATAAGAAAGATAAGAAGTCAGAAGTGGAGAATTATTGTCCAATCTCTTTAATGCCTATATTGGTGAAAGTTCAAGAGAGATGTGTTCTAACCCGTCTTTTGCCTCAAACATCACCTTGCTTATTTAACATGCAGCATGGCCTCCTCAAAGGTCTACGTGTCAAACTCAGCTTTTACAAGTCCTTCACGAACTTGGTCAGGCTCTTGATCGTGGACTGGAAACCGATGTCATCTATCTAGATTTCTCAAATGCTTTTGACTCTGTGTGCCCAGCAAAACTTTTGTCAAAGTTTCGCATGTTTGGTATCGATAGTCCTCTGCTGAACTGGTTTAAGAGCTACCTTTATGGACGAAGTCAACGTGTCGTTGTAAATGGAAGTTTCTCGTCCTGGAGTGTGGTCAAGTCTGGAGTTCCACAAGGCTCAATCCTTGGTCCCATACTGTTCCTGTTATTTGTGAACGATATGCCGGACGTCCTAAAGACCTCGTCTTTGGCTATGTATGAAGATGACTCCAAATGTTTCAAACCCATCAAAGCTACAACTGATATCTATGATCTCCAAGATGATGTAAATCTCCCCTGCAACTGGTCATCCCTCAATGAATTGTACTTCCAGCCAACAAAGTGCCATAATTTAAGAATAAGTCGCAAAAAGATCAGCCCACCACGTGTATATAAACTAAACAATACCGAGTTGAAGCTTGTCATGAAAGAGAGGGACTTTGGAGTTACAGTCACTAAAGACCTCACATNACAAGATTAATTCCTTAAAGTGAAACTTGGATCTTTCAAAGAAGAGTCTGCCTAGAGAATAGCAAATTGAATTGGTGTCATTCATGGTATTTGATTAATGGTAGTGTGGATCAGGATTGTAAGAAATCAAAAGAAGACATCAGACTGCAGGGCATTCTTGGACCTCGCAAAGTCCTTTAACACTCTAGACCACGAAAATCTGTACAAAAAAACTTGCAAGACTAGATTTCTCAAGGTCTGCGTTACAGTGGTTCAAGGCCTACTTGACTAATAGATCACAGTCATTGTAAACGGCGTCCCTTGGGATTCCCAGCCTATCCTTTATGGTGTGTCTCAGGGGTTTATTCTTGCCCCCCTGTTATTTATTATTTACATGAATGATTTATACACCATTACGGACTTCTGTAACGTGCGACTTTATGCTGATGATACCCTACTTTACTTTAGTAGTAATTCGGTCTCTGAGATCGAAACTTGTCTAAACCATGATCTAAACCGCATAATTACCTGGCTAAACAGTAACTACTTATTTCTTAACTTCGATAAAACCAAAGTTATACTATTGGGTACTAGTCAACGTTTAAGCTTTGAAGTGATTTCAATGCAAAGATCAATGACACCTCCATTGAACGAGTTTACACTTTTAAATATCTACAAAAGGTGTTCAATAGCAAGGAGGACGCGCTCGTGTTCTTACGCAACAGGACGGCAGAAGGGAGAGGACGGCAAAAGATGATCATGTGACGCGCGTGACAACCTGATTCGTGAGCGGTTTGACGCATTTCCGGTTTGTGACTGCCGTCCTCTTGACGTTCACGACGTGAAAACAAGGCGACTGAGGTTGTGAAGAAAACATGAGTAATTTTATACTTTAATCTTTATCTAAACTTTCTTTTCTTTCTGGTAGAACATAGAAACATATCATTTCTTTAGTTATCAGCCTCTGAGTCTGGTGAAATATTTTTTTTAGACACGGAAACCAAGCAAGCTCGTTACATTGTACTGATGGTAAAAACAAAATGAAAACGTCCTCCTATTTGTTGCCGGATACTTCAACTGTTTGCTTCCGAAAAAATAAATAAAGT